TAAAGTTAACAGGATGGGGATGGATGGGAATACTTCTTACAAGAGCTGAGGAAATGGGAGCTCCTATTCACCGAGCTAATTCCTTTTCTGTTTGCGGAAACCATAGCTAATGGCTCAATTAACTATCTTCCCTTTTACCTTTTGTCCCTCGCTTTCCCCCATTCATTGGGGGACCAATATAGCTAGGGCCTATTTGAATAATAAGATCTCTTGCCCCGAGCGGAAATAACAAACAGTACAACGAAAAGGAGATGGCCGCCATAGTGCACTGTCTAATGCACTTGGAAGACACTATCTGCTCCCATTTCAAACACAGAAGAAGCTCAGCCCATAAGCAAGCAAGGTGGCAAGACCTTCCTTGGCTGGAGTTCTGATATGCGTATCGAGATAAAGCCATGGACGCACGAATCCTAGTTTCATACTTTAAGGGGTCGTGTAAGTAAGTATAGTATATATTTTCAAACGTGATCGACAGTCAATCTTCCACATCCTCCTCAGTCCAATTCCTCTGAACACAAACCTTCTGCATCTGATCTTCTCTTCTTATTCCCCAGTATTCTTTTAAATAAAAAGATGCAAGCTCAAGACACTCTCCTCTAGAATTGTGCTGGTCTATGCTAATGAGCTGGCTGGTAAGATATCTCGATCTCTTAGCTTGCCTACGCTTCTTCCAGTATCGGACATTTTTCTTTTGCCACTAGCTGATAGGGTTTGTTTTCTTACCTAATGATAATGATCATGTTTTCATGCAGCATGATCAGTTTTAGATAAATGTTGCCGGGAACCGCAACTATCAGTCTTATCAGCACAGAAATATATAATTTTTGTCATGAGCTTGAGGAACAAAGACTTGAGCGAGTGAATCGAGTATATGAGAGGTAGTAGTCTGAGTTCTTATAGAACGAATTATAGCTCAGAGTGAGCTCTCTAGTTGCGCATGGGAGATTCTTATCTTAGTAGCAGTCCGTGCCTGTGCCGGGAAGAGCCCGACGAAGAATGCCTTGTCAAGAAAAGAGCTAGTCCTCACTTCGAACAATGGCTTGACCTGCTGAGTTTTCTTCCAAATTCCCCTGAATGTAAGCGGGAAAACATCTATAGTCATGTGCTTGAGCTATCCCGCTACCTTAGCCTTTAAGTTAATCTTACCCTATAGCTTGAATCCCGAAGCTACAAGTTTAGCGAGATATTTAGAAGGCTGGAATAAAGCAGAGCTAAGCCGAGTCATTCGAGGGATCCTGATAGGAACAGAAGTAGCTTTGATAAAGTGGGGTCTCCCTTGCCGGCTGCCTTTGCATTTGCTTTCCCGAAAAAAGTTCTACTGGAGCCTGGATAATTTCCACGAAGCGTTAGCCTGTCTGTCATCTATCATGTCGACTGCTATCTTCCTAGCCTTAGCCCTTGAACTCGAACCTACCTCGATTTAAAACGAACTCAAACTAGCCAGGAAGAGCAGAGAGAGAAGAAGCCACTCCCCAAGCCAAGTGAAAGGTAAGGCTTTTCTATGGGCGGATTAGCTGCCTAGTATACGAGTCGAAATCAGACTGTGGGAGACCCCTGATCATCTTGAAGGTACCGGTTTGGAGAATATGAATGCCAAGATGAGAGAGAAAAAAGTGTCCACGAGGAAGAAACATAAAATGCCAAAAAGAACTAGAAAAAACCAAACATTTACTTGGTGGATGAGTTAAAAGAAGAAAAGGGCGCGGGTCAGGAATGGCTCTTAACAGCTAACCGGGGACCTAGTCTAAAATAAAGCACAGATAGCTTACCCAGGTAAGCGTTGTAAGCGGCCTTGGCCCCTAATCTAAATAGGGAAGGCGGTGTCGGGTAACCGAAGAGCGAAGGAGCGTATAAGCTTGAATAACTTGATGGAATACCTGTGGCCCCGACATGGATGAAGATAACCTGAGGTGAGGAGTTCACGCTATCGGATACCGTATTGATGTTTTCCTTGAAGGTGAAAACTTTGCAGAGGCCACTGGCACCGAATATACCTATAAAATAACGCTAACCGGCCACACGGCATTGATGCATCCGATAGAGGGAGAATTCTTTCGGCAAAGAAATTTTACGAAAAAAAAAGCCCAATTGAATCATTATGCTCGATAAAAGGAAAAAGGGGAAGTGCTCCAATAAAAACAGCATACTGCTAGTTAAGATTAGCGATCCAGGCAAGCGCCAAAGAAAGAGGGCAAAGCGCAAGAAATCAAAGCCAGGGGGCAGGATTGAAGAGCTTAGACAGCAAGCAAGCGAGAGCACTGAGGCAAGGTCTTTCACGCATGTCGCTCGATGCGGCGCTAAAAGACAAGCACTCATGTCCTACTTCTAATGCGCACGACAACCAGAGATTCTCCCGGGAACCCTTCCCTAGTAAAGAAGTACTGACCAATCGGTTTCTATGTGACCCAGTTATGATAGCCTCGGATAGACTAAGGATCTTAGGTGAGACCTAGAGTGCAGCCACTAACGCCAATGAGAACGGGCACTACTTCACTAATGGGGAAATGGATCGCTAAACAAAAAAAAAGTATGAAAGACTAGTGCAGTTCCATTCCCAAATTTACTGAAAGGCCCTAGGCTTTCGCCATTTAGGATGTAGAAGTTTCTTTTCATGTATTAAGCATATACTCTTCTCCTTGCTTCCAACTAAATTATCCATTAATCTCCTACCCTGTTCCTTGCCTTCGTACCCTGGGTCATTGCCCTTATATTCTTATGAATATCTTCTTATCTTATGAAATATATTTCGGAAGGTTTCACTATCGAAGAAAGTTCTCCGTCCAAGTAGGAATCAAAGGTTCACGAGTTCAATCGGCCTAATAACTCACTCTCAAACTTCTTAATCACTAGGCGAGTTTACTAACTTTTTATATTTATGATATTAAAGAGTTAAGATTTAACATTCGATCGAGTTTTAACAGGTGCAAGTTGGATTTATTACTTCACTATACGCTAACTATGCAATCCAGGGAAGAGAGGAATATTTCTTCTTTCCAGTTCCATCTCATATAGGCAGCAAAAGTTTACTAATTTTTTTTCCATTCCTAAGGGATCAGTCAAAATTGAAAAAGTTTGCCTTATGCAAAATCTTCTAATTCATTGTAGAATCTTTATAATTTTTCATTGAAAATGTTGTAAATTCGCTGAGAAATGTAAAAAAGGTTTCCTAGACCCAGGAAGTGGAATGAGTATAAAAGGAGAGGAATTCTTTTCTCGAGAGGGTTGCCCCGAGAGGAATGAAAGTAAGATCTCCAATCCACAAGAAACCCGTATCAAAAGCTGGAAGAATTCGTTGCCACTTTCTACTTGCTTTGTTTTACTCTGGGAAATGAAACTTCCGTTCTTTAATCTTAATACAGATGATACATAAGAAATCTATAAACGAAAAGAATTTACTTTCCCTGGTGGTAATCGGTTCTCAACGACATGAGGGATGGGATTTTTTTCTTTTAATAAGATATTCTTATAACCCATAGTCGCTAAAGGAGACTCATACACCTGCTTACTTCCTGTGCGAATGACAACATCATCACTGAGCACTGCCTACTTAAAAAATCGCTGCCAAGGGTAGAACTTGTTCCGCACACACCATAAATGGTAAGTAAAGAAAAGTGGCCACGAATGAATGAGAACCCGATAGATTGGACCCTGCCAACGAAGAATGAGACCGAAGAAAACCGTCTTCTTACTTTAGCAAGAGCACCCCGAAAATACATTAGAAGCTAGTGCCGAATCTTACATAGACCCCCGAAAAAGAGATTGAAAGACTTCGAAAGAAGAAGGATCAAGGCCTCCTATCAACTGCTTCGCCAATCAAGTCCGATCAATCAGCTCTGTTGATGAAAAGATCCATTGGTCACTTGACAAGACCTGCATCAGCAGTCATGACCGGCCTAACAACAACCGCCTGATTGATAGAATGTTCGAATATCTTCGCTTGCCACCCATTCATTCAAAATTTCTGCCCTAGTCGGCCTTTAAGAGGTGGGACAGGCGGATCCTTAGACGATGGATGGCAAGGACCTAATCTAGGCTTCAAAGCAGTCTAGATTCCAAGTACCAGTTGGGATCTAGTTGCGTTACCTTTGAGAGAATCCTTTTCTTTTTCTTTCTTATTTGATTTTGATTTACTAAAGCCCTATGGTATGGTTCCATCCATTCCTGTGCTCTTAGTCTTTCATTCAGCCTCGGATTGCTTAAATCTTTCAACCCCTCACCTCACCCAGCAAGCAGCCCCTTTCGGAAGCAAGAGCTTCCTACCCTACCAGGCAGAACACTTAGCCCAGTTAGCGCAAGAGAGCTGCTCATTCCCTGTGAAGTACCGATGCTGAATTTAATCGTATTAAGCATCCATTGCTAAGTCAATCTACGAAGCAGTTTTGTTTAGGTAGGGATCAGACCTAAATGCACCGGGGACTGAAGCGGTGGTTGGAAACAGAGTGGTTGTGAATTCCAAAGGTGAGAACCTGAGATAGGAATCTTTCCTGCTAATCTTATAGTCCGTAATCAACTGTTCGGTGCGTAAACAGTTGATCGATGTAACATCAGTTGCACTAGCTACGACCCCAAATACCAGTGAACTTGTTGTACCACTGCCTAGTCCATCTTCTTAAGACCGACCACTCAAAGGAAAGATTTTGTTCCTGAGGACAAGTGCAACTCCTCCGGCAGGTAGTTTTAAACTCCTTTGGGGACGAAGCTCTTTTCTCATAGAGCTCTATGATTACTTCCTCGGGCATACGGATTAAGAGGCAACACCTTCCCAACTCATAATTCGATTGGAGGGTGGTTTTAGTGTACATTGCTAATAGTTCTCCACTCGAAGACTTACGGCTATGGTCGAGCCGCGATAATACACGGCGAAAGCCTAATCACCACCAACCTCTGCACATTGGTTGAAAACCTGCGCATAGGTAACTGAAGCTGTCAGCTAACTGGTACGTATGGATCGTGGACTATTCAATAAAGCCTGGGCTGGAGATAGGGAGATAAATCCTTACTCAGATCCCTGACCCTAAAACGCTTTCGCGAACTCGGCCTGAAACCGTTATGAGAAAGAAGGGATTTCAGATAACAATAGAAAAACCCAAACTGCCCAATGCCTGTTTCATACACTTTGGCTACTTGTTCGTCAGCAATGACGACAATCGTCCCCCATGTACGCGCATATTTATCAAAAGCGCAAACCTGGGTACAACTTTGCTCTGCACATGGCCACACAAAATATGATGAGACAGTCAAATAAAGGCCAAGAGGCATGATCCGAGAGGGTTGTCCAGACAAAAGAAAAGCGAGGATCGGGCCCGCTTTAACCTAAAAAGAAAAGATGTTAGTCCCGCGCAGAATGAACGCGCTAACGCGGAACGACCTTACGAAC